GTGGCATAGCTTTCAGAATCACAGCAACTCACAAGCCACCACAGTATGACAAACTGACAGACGATTGGTGGCCATTTGGTTTTAAGTGGAAACTGTCACTTTAAATTTCAAGGAGATCTATGCACATGCGTAGTAGAGCCCTCCAGGGAAGGGGGTGGGGTGTCCATTCACTCAGGCACCCCCTCTAGTCACCAGAATGGAGGTACTCAGACAGTGAGAGACCAATGAACAGATACCAAAAAATGAATGTCCACATCTGTATCTCCATAGTTCTGTCAGGCATTCGTGACTGTTCTGATCCTTCCCCTGCTTGGGCTCTCCCAAGATGGTGGCTCCAGGAGCAGCTGAGCATCTTGAATTAGTAAGCAATGGATTTCTTGATTCTGCTCCAAATTCCCCTAGCTATAAACCTTCCAAGCTTCTAAATATTCTTTTATACATGGTTCAGAATTCTAGCACCATCCCTTGAGCCTGCTTGGTCCCGTATTCTGTGTTGTTGCGGACAGAGCTCCTCACTGCACATCAACCCAATCCATCATCTTGAACATCTTTTTTTTAATAGTCTAGCTGGGTTCATATTTCAACTGGAGAACTGAGGTCCAGGGAGTTATGAACCATGATCCTTTGCTGTGGCCCAGCACTAACTCAGATGCCCTGATTCACAGGCCAGTGTTTTTTCCACCAAGGAAAATATTAAAAACTCAGTAAACTTCAACAATCATTTAAAAACTTTTAAGTCATTTCCATGTTTTTTATTTCTACTCTCCATCAGTATTACACAACTAGTTTGTTACTAAAGCTTTGGGCATCAGTAGTTGAAATCTGGCAGGGGTTTATTTTATTTGTTTTACCCTTAGGAATAAAATATTTCATTAAACAAAAGCCAGAAACACATAATAAATTTCTGCATAAGATATAAAATAGAGATATATGAGTGTCTATAATATATTCCTGTAAGCTCAAAGAGAACAAATCTTCACCAAACAGAGTTTGATGTCATCAGAGTTAAAAATCAAGTTAAATCTTTTATTTTAAGCATTGATTTCTCTTAAAACTTACCTACAGATCTTTACAGGAGAAGTTTTCTGTAAGAAAATGAAGACATTGACCATTAGTCTTTACAAATTCTTTTTATTCCCCGTTATAAGAAAACATTTAGACTAGAAGGCAGATCAATTGTAAGTGTATTAGGGGGCTTAGCAGCTGCTACACTTTCATATTTATTGAGGCTTTTTGTTGCTTGGACCAAATGACGGTGACTCAGAGTTCCAGCACTGAGTCACTTCAGCAAAGCACTCTGGGTATGCAGAGCTTTGCCCGCCCACCAAGCACTGCTCACAGCACCATCGGAACCATGTTTACCCCGGAAAAGCTAATCTGTTATACTCAGTGAAAAGGGGGGAGGAGAGAGGGGTATGGAACCTGCGTAAGAGAAGTAAATAGGCTCTTGTTCAACTTCTCTCACAATTCTTTTCATTAACCCAGCTCTGACTGAGTGAGCTAGAAATGATCTGATGTGATCTTTAAGAAAAAGTTCTGACCATTCTTACTGGGATCACAATCAAGGTGGGAAGAAAATGTAGAGCAAAATTTGAAATCATAAAACAGACCAGATTTACTGGTCTGACCAAAATGGTGGGCCTTAGACACCCTTCACACCTGGAACTGATCCCACCTCCAAACAATCGCCTTTCAGCCAAATAACAGGCCTATAAGGAGCTCTGGTAGCGTGGTGGTTACGAATTGGGCAGCAAACTGCAAGGTCAGCAGTTCGAAAACTACTAGCTGTTCCACGGAGAAAGATGAGGCTTTCTGCTCCCATAAAGATTTATAGCCTCGGAAACCCTGTACAGGGTCACTATGAGTCAGAACCAACTCCACGGCATATAACAACAACAGCACAAAGTAGACAGTAACACTGACTGGAAGAGGTCCATAGTGGTGCCCATTCCAAAGAGAGGTGACCCAATGGAAAGCAGAAATCATCAAACAATATCATTAATATCACATGCAGGCAAATTTTTATTTAAGATTCAAAAATGTGTGCAGCAGCACACTGACAGGAAACTGCCAGAAATTCAAGCTGGATTCAGAAGAGGATGTGGAATTACAGATATCACGGCTTGCATCAGACGGATCTTGGCTAAAAGCTGAGCATACTTATGTGCTTAACTGTGTGAGTCATGACAAACTACGATAATATTTTGAAGAATGGGTATTCCAGAACACTAAATTGTGCTCATGAGGAACCTGCATATAGACAAAGAGCCAGCTGTTCACACAGAACAATGGGATATGGAATGTTTAAAATCAGGAAAAGGGAGTGCCAGGGCTGTATTCTCTCACCATACTTATTCAACCTGTACACCGAGAAACAATCCAAGAAACTTGATTATACGAAAAGAATATGGCATCAGGATTGGAGATAGATTCAGTAACAACCTGCAGATGGTAACAATATGCAGATGATATAACCTTGCTTGCTGGAAATAAAGAAGTCTTAAAATACAAACTGATGGAGATCAAAGACCACAGCCATCAATATGGATTGCACCTCAATGTTAAGAAAACAAAAATCCTCACTACTGGGCCAATAAATAATATCATGATACAGGGAGAAAATACTGAAGTTACCAAAGACATCGTTTTGCTTGGATCTACTATCAACACTCATGGAAGCAGCAGTTAAGAAATCAAATGACATATTTCATTAGGCAAATCTGCTGCACAAGATTAAAATGTTCAAGAGCAGAGATGTCAGTTTGAGGACTAACATGTGCTTGGCCCAAGCCATGGTAGTTTCAATAGCCTCATATGCATGTGGAAGTTGGGCAATGAATACGGAAGACAGTACAAGAATTGATGCATTTAAATTATGGTGTTGGAGAAGAGCATTTAAAGTACCCTGGATGTCCAGCAAAATAAACAAGACTGTCTCAGAAGAAGTATATGCAGAATGTACCTTAAAGCCATGATAGTGAGACTTTTTCTTTCATACTTTGAGCTTGTCATCATGTCCCTCAATTAGGACATCAACCTTAGTAAAGTGGGGAGTCTGATAAAAAGAGGAAGAGCCCCAATGAGACAGACTGACCCAGTGGCAGCAACAAGGGGCTCATACATAACAATTGTGAGGACAGGACAGTGTTTCTGCTGTGCACAGGGTCTCTATGAGTCCCAACGACTTGATGGCACCTAACAACACCACCCGTGAGGAATTTGTTCCTCAGAGCAATCAGTCATATGAGACCAAAGGGGCAGCATTCATCTAAAAACAAAGCTAAGAAGGAAGGAAGGAGCAGGAAAAACAGAACAAATGGAACCCAGGGAGAAATCGACAAGAGTGCTGTCACAGTGATGGGACTGTGACTCATCACGAAACGAAATGTGCAAATTGTAGGATGGAAAACTGATTTGCTGTGTAAACTTTCACCCAAATCACAAGAAAATGTTCAAGAAAGAAAAAGAAAAAGGAGAAGGGTCATTTTACTCATCTCATAAAAAGAAGAAATAAGAGTCTAAACTCTGTGCTTAAAGATCCCTGAAATGAAATTCTAAATTCGAACTCTCCCCTTACCTTTTCCTCAGTCAGGTGAGGGGAAGGAGTGCTTTGTACTTAGGAAGAAGGCAGCTTAGCAGGGAGCATCACAAAGATGAAGTCCTGGTGTGGCACTGTAGGATAAGCACTAGACCATAAGGTCTGTTTGAACTGCAAGGTCGGAGGCTCAAACTCACCAGCTGCTCCTCAGAAACCCTAAACAGGGTCACACTGCCTCGGGCTCAATGGCACTTAACAACATCACAGAGGTGGAGTCCTGTTGTGGTGCTGAAGGATAAGCACTGGACTGCAAACCACAAGTTGGTGGTTCAAATCCACCAGTTGCTCTTGGAAACCCTATATGGAGTCGCTATGAATTGGAACCAACTTGATGGCACTTAACAACAACAATAATATTTGGGAGTCCTAGTGTGGTGCTGTAGGATAAGCACTGGAACGTAAGGTCAGTTTGAACCACAAGATTGTTGGTTAAAACTCACTAGTCACTCCTCAGAAACCCTATAATAGGTTGCTATGAATTGGAACCGACTCAATGGCACTAAACAACAGCAAACACATATATTTGAGGAGTCCTGGTATGGCGCTGTAGGATAAGTACTAGACTCCTAATTGCAGGCTGGTGGTTTAAACCCACCAGCCACTCCACAGAAACCCTCTACAGGGTCACTCTAAGTTAGAACAGACTTGACTGTACATAAAAACAACTGTACAGAGGTGCTTTTGCTGTTTTTCAATATATATTAGGAGAAGCAGATAGAATAATAGATTGATTCTCAACATTTCAGAATTATTTTGCTAGTTGAGGGCAATTTTTCACACCAAATTCAGGTAAAGTGGTAGTGGTGGTGGTCGTGTGCCGTGGAGTCAGTTCCGACTCACAACAATGCTGGCTTATAGGGTTTCCAAGGCTATAATCTTCGTAGGAGCAGAAAGCTAGTAGATTCAAACTGCTGACCTTGAGGTTAGCATCCCAACTTGAAACCCACTACACTACCAAGGCTCCTGTCAGATAAAGTTTGGAATATCAACATAGTGTTTAAGAGTTGATCAGAGGCATAGACATGGTTTGTTATGAAGGTATGTCAAATTTTCACGTATTACTAAATAACCAAGTTTTGTTTTAGGAAAGACTAATATACAGGGTTGCTGTGAGTCTAAACCAACTCGACGGCACTTAACAACAACAACAACAACTGTGTACAGAGGTGTGGTTTGAATCTATCTTTCTCAAAGCAAAGCTGACCTGCCTCTACTGCCCCCTGGTGGGAACATATCAATTATCCCTGAAATACAGAAAAAACAAAGCTATGCCTTTGGTATGGGTTGTGCCTCCAAACAAAGAAAACAAAAATTCTCACCGCTGGACCAATGAATAAAATCATGATAAATGGAGAAAGAACAGAAGTTGTCAAGGACTACATTTTACTTGGGTCCGCCATCAACACTTTAGAAAGCAGCAGTCCAGAATCAAATGATATATTGTACTAGGCAAATCAGTTGTGCAAGACAGACCTCTTTAAAGTGTTTAACAGCAAAGCATTAAAGTGCACCTGTCCCAAGCTGTGGTATTTTCAATATCTTCATATGCATGTTGAAGTTGGACAACGGATAAGGAAGACCCTAGAAAAACTGATATAGGCATGGCGCTGTGGGTTCATGCACCAGACTGCAAAGTCAGTTTGAACTACAAGGTCAGCAGTTCAAGCTCACCAGCTGCTCCTTGGAAACCCTACACAGGGTCACTATGGGTCAGAAATGACTCGACGGCACTTACCAACAACAATTGGAAAAGAATATTAAAAGTACTATGGATTTCCAGAAGAACAAACAAAACTGTCTTGGAAGAAGTACAGCCAGAAAGCTCCTTAGAAACCAAGATGACCAAACTTAGTCACTCAGACTTCAGACATATTATCAGGAGGGACTAGACCCTGGAGAAGGACATCATGCTTGGTAAAATGGAGGGTCAGTGGATCAGAGAGAGAGCCCTAAGGAGATGTTTTGCACAGTGGCAGCAGTGATGGGTCAAGTATAACACAGACGGTGAGACTGGCACAAGACCAGGCCATGTTCTGTTCTGTGGTGCACACGTCACCCTGGGTTGGAACCGACTTGACGGCGCCTAACTACAACAGGTGATTAGGCTTAAAATACCTGGGGAATTGCTCTTGTTATGGTCAAGGGTGTTACTAAAATATTACCAGAAGTCTGGTGGAAGAGAAGGTGTGGAAAAGATACAGAAAAAGGGATTGGGCAACAGTCAACCTTATGCCTGAAAGAGTAAGAATTCATCTACTCCACAAAGGAGAGATGAATTATTATTATTATTTCATTTTAAACTCCTTTTGACTAAAGGAACCCAGATCTCAGATATCTCCGTATGAAAAGCACTGGACTTTGAAACACAAGGTCCATGGTTCGAGCCCACCAGTCACTCTTTGGGAGAAAGAAAAGACTTTCTGCTCCTGCAAAGATTTAAAGCCTCTGAAACCCTATACAATCCGCTATGCCCATTTTGGGGCATCACATTAAGTACGTGTTGAATCCTCTACTTGGTTCATTTGTGAGGATAAGAATTGTGTTTTCTAAATTGCTGTAACTTAAAACAAAAAGCAAATCCACAGCTTTCAGTTGCTTCTTACTTTTAGCAAGCTTATAAAGACAGAAAAGAACTGTCCTATAGGTTTCCACAGCTGTAATCTTTATGGAAACACAGACTGTCCCATCTTTCTCTTCCAGAGCAGCTGGTGGATTCTAACCACCAACCTTTTGGTTGACAGCTAAGTGCTATTAACCAATGTGCACCAGGGCTCCATCTCTGTAGCTTTTGTTGTCATTGTTAAGTACTGTCAAGTCAGTTTCAACTACGATTTGGAACATAGCAACCCTGTAAAGGGTTTTCCAGGCTGTAAATCTTTGCTGGAGCAGAAAGTCTCATCTTTCTCTTGCAGAACAGCTGGTAGGCTTGAACCATCAGTCTTGTGTTCACAGTGCAGTGCTTATCAATGTTTGTTATACAGTATATACCTAATAAGTGTTGAATATTGAACAAATAGTAATATACTAATATTAAACTATAATAAGTAGTAGTGATAATTCCACAAGCCACATCTTCCCTTGTAGCTTGTGTATATATGCAAGTGTACATGCATGCCCGCAGGTGTCTACATGTGTGTGTACACAAAGAAGTAGTTATGGATGGTGAGAAGGAACAGGAAGCTCTGGTCTATACTCACAATCTGGGGACAAGATCATGAGGTTACTCTCCAAAGCTGATTTCAGTGAAATGACACAAAATGCATAAAAAGCGACCTCACTGGAAGTAGCAAGTAATAGTGTGAGTCACTACTCCTCATGATACTCGGTTCCCTCACCAAGAACTCCAGGCTGTACGATCAGGAAAGTAAGACCAAAATCATATTATGGTTATAGAGCAGTTTAATGCTAAACTACTAGAAACCATCTAAAAGTCTCCAAACAAGGACTGGCTAACACATACTATTGACAATGATTTGTCCAATCATTTCCAAGAAAAGGTCCTCCCACCCTGGAAGTTTGGTTCCTAGTCTGCTTGGTAGAAACAGCCTTTGAGGCTTTGTCAACTCAGTGTCCTACCCTCACCCTAGTCTATTTGCTCACAATGTGGTTTTGTGACTAGACTTGTCCATCAGCAAGCAATATCCTGTGAATATGCCTGGATCATGTCTCTGAGCCAGGTAAACCTGAATGTTTAAATCCATCAGTCATGCACATTTCATGAATAAGAGCCTTTTGGGAATCAGCTGCATGAATCAGTCTGTGGGAGCCTGCCAACCTCAGTGACTAGCTCATGGACCAGTCTGAACTGTGCACCAGTTCTGGGGGCCAGACCCAGAGGTTACGTATGGTCCTGCCATCAGAGGGCTCAGATGAAGACAGGGGAGACACAAGGAAATAGACTATATTTCATCAAGCCTAGGACACCAAGGACTGCTGAAGATTCCTGTCATTTTGTGTCCTGGTATGGTGCTGTAGGGTAAAGCACTGCAACACAGGGCAGTTTGAACCACAAGGCGGCAGTTTAAGCTCACCAGCCGCTCCTCACAAACACTATACAGGGTCGCTATGAGTAAGAACCGACTCAATGGCACTGAACAACAACAATTAAGAAAAAATAATCATACCAAGACACATCATTGATTATAAGTGCATCCCAATTTCAGAGAGGTTTAAATGTGGAGGGGGAAAAAAAAAAGATTGTATGTTAGAACTGATAAATATGGAAACTGCTGGAAGGTATGACAAACGGATGTCAGAGAAAGGTGTCTGCTTAAGTGGTGGCATAAGGAGAGTAAGGTCAGTCCCACCCTCTCCCCAACTCCACCTGGATCTGACAGAAGTCATAGGGCCTCAAGGGACTTACCATAGGGTCCTTTCTCCCCTTCCTACAAGCCTCCCCCACCATTCCCTCCAGACAGCTGGGTGAATTCTTGAATCTGGTCAATCCCTTTGGGGCTTAAAAACCTGACCATGGCCTCCCACTACACTCAGCTTAAATGTCAAATTCCGCAGTTCCATCTCAAAGGCCATGCATTTTCTCCAGTCTTAGCCTAAGCACCTCTTCTCTTCCTCTTATTAACCTGTGGCGCTGTGGGCTAATGCGTCAGACTGCAAAGTCATTTGAACTGCAAGGTCAGTGATTCAAGCTCACCAGCTGCTCCTTGGAAACCTTCTACAGGGTCGCAATGAGTCGGAATTGACTCAATGGCACTTAACAACAACAACACTGGTCCAAAATTATTTCTGCCAGGTTCCTTCAACCTCTGGTCATCTGCACATGCTGCCCACTCTTTCTGGGACAACTTTCTGCACTATTCACCCTTCAGGGTTGTATTGAAATCTCAATTCCTCAAAGTGGCCTTCTTGGAACCCACAACCCAGTGTGTGGGTAGGACTATTCATTGATTGTCTGTGTCTTCTTCCAGGCAGCATAAGTCATGAGAATTGCAACTATCTCTCTCCTTCACTAATGTAGACACAGTGCCCAGCAGTGTGGTGGTCATCCAGGTGCTTAAAGATCTATGGAGTGCATGAGGTATGTTTGAAGAAATCTACCAAGAGATGTTATGGCTGTTGGCATGTGCTGTTGAGTGGGTTCTGACTCGTAGAGACCCTGCATGTGGTTTCTGAGGAGCAACTCATAGTTTGAACTGCCAACTTTGAGGTTAGCAGTTCAGTGCTTTACCCACAAGCATCACACCAAGACACTAAGAGATAAGAGCAAAGAAACCTCAAGGCATGCTCTAGAAACCCTCATCCACTCATAGTGCTACAGTTGACATGGAAAAGTCTGGTGGTCCCTCAACAAGTTAAACATGGAATTACCACATGACCAGCAAACTCCTCTCCTAGGTATACAAGGGTAAGACAGAAAGTATTGCTACTAGGGTTCCCATTCACATACGCATGGGTTTATTCCAAACAAAGTGTGTTTAAACATGAATCTATACGCAGTAGATAGCTGCAGACAAATTCTCTCAGTAATACACTGTGTTAGTCCATTAGGATACCTAAAAAAAAGGCCCAGTCAAAACAGCGACTTCTGAGGGAAGTTAAATTAAAGGCAAAGACGCCAGTTCAAAAAGGTTATGGAGACTATTCTGGGGGATCTCAAAAGGGTAATCTTGATAGCTTTTCTCGAAGGACACAGGATGGTTGTAGGGACTTATTATGAAGAAGTTTAAATAGAAAACTGCACTGGTGAGAAAAGGCCAGGGAAGATGCACCAAGGAATTTTTTTCCATCACAACACTGCACATGCTGATTCACCGTGGGCAGTAAGGGCTTTCTACAAGAATTTCATTGGGAAACCTTACCCTATCTACCCTACAGCACTAATCTTGCCCCTTCAGACTTCTTTTTGTTCCGCAAACTCAAAGAATGTTGACAAGGAACATAACTTGAGCACCTTGAGGATACCCAAACTGCCATTTTTATGAGCTATAAATTTAAAAGTATGGGATTCTTTGGGGAAGGGTTTGAGCACTGGAAACATCACCTTCAGAAATGTACAGACCTAGATGGGGAATATGTCAAGAAACCATATCTTCACATTTTTATTTTCTTGTTTAATAAAGGTTTCTATGATTTAATAGCAATACTTCTGACTTGCCCTTGCAGATCCAAAAGACTTTGAAAGGAGCAGCACAGACAGACACCTGTATATCAGTGCTCACTGCAGCACTTCCCATAATAACCAAAAGGTGAAAACAACCAAAATGTCCATCAGCAGATGAATGGCTAAAGAAAACATCACTCTACCCATACAATGGAATATGACTCAGCTGAAAAGAGAAATGAAGTCTTAATACATGCAGATGAATCTTAAAACAGTATGCTGAGTGAAGTAAGTCAATCACAAAAGGACAGCTATTGTACAATCTCTGATAGGAAATTGGCAAATGTATAGAGACCAAAACGTTTAAGTGTTTACAAAAGGAGGCAGGCAGTGAAGAAGGAAGAGTCACTGCTTAGGGACACTGACTGTTTGTGAATGGGGGTGGCATCATTTGGAAAAAGGTAGTTGGGATAGATGTACATATCAATGTCACATTTATACCTGTAAAAATGGTTGAATTGGCAAATATTTTGTTATATATATTTTTTATTGCATATGCTCATATACAAAGGACATAGTCCAGGAAAAGCTAGCATATATAGAACATCTACAACATGCCCCAAATTGTTAGAGGTGCTTAACACATATACCTGAGTCCTCTCAATAACTCTGAGTTGGATACCATTCTTATCTCGTTTCATAATTGGAGGCACAAAGATGAAGCAATGTTCTCTAACTGATATGAGGTAGATCTGCGATTGGAAACAAAAGCAAATGCTCCCAGGACCCTGTGTGAACCTTTCCCGTAACATTTGTGCGATATTAAGATTGGCTCTTGGGGATGTACACCCCTATGCAGGCCCACAGCAAAGCACTTTTATCAATGAGACACTAGTGGTTCAGTGGAAAGCCTCTCACCTTCCATGTGGGAGGCCAGATTCCATTCCCAGCCAATGCAATGTCTGTCAGTAGAGGCTTTCAATTTACTATGGTGCTGAACAGGTTTCAGGGGGAACTTCCAGACTAAGACAGATTAGGAGGAAAGATCTAGCAATCTACTTATGAAAATCCACCAATTAACACTCTATTAATCACAGTGGTCCAGTTTGGTTCTGCTTGGGGTCACCCTGGATCAGAGGCCAACTGACTCAAGAGCATTTAACAATAACATCATCCTGAAGTCTGGCTCAGTTTGGTCTAGAACTCAGTTCTGTTCAGGCAAAAAAGCATTCCTGTGTATGCTTGAGAAACTGAAGGGATGTCAAAACTATGATCTCTGAAATAGGGAACCACTGTCAGATGCTCTTGAAATGGAAATTGGTGTCAAAAAAAGGAAAATACTAATATGGACCATGAAACAAGTGCTTCTTTGAATTTTAAAGCAACTGAAATCAAATTCCCATACTGCATTATCATTTACCTCTTTCTGAAAAAACTTCTGGTGCCCACAGATGATAACTTCAGCTACGTTATGCAAAGTGAGAAAGACAGGGATGGTCTGAAAGAAAACAGAGTGATAAGCATGAAAATATTTTCAACCTCATAATTACATAACCCTTGTTTTTTGTTTAAAAATAAAGATCTGTAGGAACTCCTGGCATTCACTTATATAATCCTCTCCAACAAGACTGTTTCACATGGATTTCTGTTCTTTGTTGCAGAACTATTTCTTTTTTTTTCTTTTTTTTTAAGTTTTTACTGTGAATTGAGTGATAGTTGACATGGAGAACATTGGTTTTGCACTCATCCTATTGCAGTTTATTTCATTGCAATGATTACAATCCCCTCCAGTCATCATCATTCAAGTATTTGCTTCTATTCCCTCTGGGATTTTTTTTTTTTTTTGGGGGGGGGTGTGTGGGGGGGTCGTTGATGTACACAAAAACACTCAGGAATATATAATCATCTAAACAACCCATGGGCACATTCTGCAAGTCTGCCTCCTGGCCGCCAGCACACAACCTTTCTCTTTCCATGAATCTAGGGTTCTCAGCTGCTCCCTCTCTCCATGTCCTCATTTCTGCCTCCATCTCTGGTGTCACTGTTTCTCTGGATAGGGTCCCACACTCTGCTTGTGCTCTTCTCTCTTGATGGTCTTAGGGTCCTCTGTTTCTGAACTAGAAGATTAACTACTCCCTACTTTATGTTACAAAATTTCTACCTTCACAGTTGTGACAGTCACATTTAGTGATGATAACAATTACTATTGAATCATAAGAATCTTATCCCCATCTCTTTTCCCCAGACCTGTCTAGACAAGATGAAGTGGGGATTCTACCTTCCTCTGCACACTCTAAAACTAAACATCCTCTTGAAAACTTGTAAGCCAGCCACTTGGTGCCTTTAGAGCCCCCTTCCTCCATCCTCCCCCCAATTTTAGGCAGCCAGTGTCTAAATTGCTCGTCACTATCAACCCTATATACTGAGGAGATAGGCTTGATCCTTGATAGTGAGGTGCAAAATTATTCTTGGTAGGGTAAAAAAACGCCGCTCCTATTCTCATTTGCATATAAGTATTAGGCATCTATGGTATGTCAAAAAAGTTCCAATAAAAATATAGACCCTGGTGGGCACTATACGATAAGCACTGGACTGCTAGCCACAAGGTCTGCAGTTCAAACTCAACAATCACTCTAGGAAACCCTGTACAGTGTCACTGAGTCAGAACCGACTCAATGATACACAAAAACTATCTGTCGGGCACTGTATTAGGTGGGGACACACCTTGTGAGCAAGGTGGATACTTTACAGACACTTTACTGCTCTGATGGGCACACTGAAAGCTAACATGTATAGAGCTTTGAATAGAATTGAGGGCAGAGACATCTGATCTACAACAGGAATGAAGCTTTCTTGGAGAACGTGAAGCCCAAAGTCTAAAAGAGAACTGAATGATGAACTGAAGTGAGCGGAACCAAAGGAAAGGAGGCAGAAAAGAGTTCCAAGCAGAGGAATACACAAAGGCCCAGAGCAGATCGTGAATTCAGCTCCTCCAAGTTAACTGAAGAAGCTGAGCATGGCTGGGACATGGCATGAAAGGAAAAAGAAGGGGAGAGGAAGGTGGGAAGTGAATCACAGATCATATTAGGGATGACAGACTTTGTCCTGAAGCCCAATAGGAGTCCCTGCTGAGAGTTTTAAGGCAGCTAGTGACGTGATGTGATCTATCTGTTTAAAGGTGCATGGGCCACAGCGTAAGGACAATGGTACAAATGGCTACAGGGGTCTAGGGTACAGTATGCTGAAAAATGGTCCCCAAAGATATCCAGACCCTAATCTCGAGAACCTGAAAATGGTACTTGCTATAAGGATCATGAAATGGGAAGATTATTGTGGGTTCTCTGGGTAGGCCCTAATTGTAATCACAAGTGTCTTCATAAGAAGGAGATGGGAGAAGATTTGACACATGGAGAGGGAAAGATTACGTGAAGATGAAGCAGAGATTTGAAGACAATGGCCTGGAAGGTTGGAATGACGAAGCCATGAGTTAAGGAATGCTAGCAGCTACCAGATGCTGGTTTCTCTCCTAGAGTTTCAGGGGGTAACACAACTCTGCTAATACCTTGATTCCAGCCCAGTGATACTAATTTCAGACTTTTGGCCTCCATAATTATCAGAGAATAAATTTCTTTTCTCTTAATCCACCACATTTGTGGCAGCTACAGGAAGTCACAACACAGATTTGGTACCAGGATGTGGATGCTATTGTAACAAATATCTGAAAAATATACAAGTGGCTTTGAAATTGAGTAATAGGTAGGGGATAGAAGAATTTTGAGAAGCATGATAGAAAAGGTCTACACTGCCTTGAGCAAACTGTCAGTAGAAATAAAGACAAACAAGACTTTGCTAGTGAGCCCAGAGGAAGTCTGAAGAATGGGAGCGGAAGCTTCTCTCATCTTAAAGAGTACATATGAGGGGGCTTCAAAAAGTTTGTATAAAAATGGAAAAAATTATAATGAAACTTTTCCACGAACATTTTGAAGCCCTCTCGTATATCTTAATAAGTAGAGTGTTGGTAAAAATACAAACATTTAAGGCGCCTCTGGTGAGGGCTCAGAAGCAAATGAGTAACATTACTGAAAACTGGAAGAAAAATGATCGTTGTAATATGGTGGCCAGGAGCATGGTGGCTCTATAGGGTAAGCATTGGATTGTAAACCACAGGATCAGTGGTTCGAGTCCACCAGTCACTCTGCAGGACAGAGATGAGGTTTTCTGCTCCCACAAGGATTTACAGCACTGGGAACACTAAACAAGGGTCATTGTAAGTCAGAACCAAGTCCACAGCATATAACAATACCAAATGAGCGAATCATGTCCTACAGTTGTATAGAAAGCATATCTTGTAAACAATGAACTTTAACATTTGGCTAAGGAGATTTCTGAGCATAATGTTAAAGGTGCAGCCTGGGTGCTTTCTTTTCACTGCTCACAGTAAAAAAAAAAAAAAAAAAAATTAATGGGGGGAAAATTTATTAAAAACAGAGGATCTGTTCATTTACTTCACTCGTCTGTTTGCTAAGAATGGCAGTCTCTCCTAATTTGATAGGCCAGTTGGTAAAGTGAGAAGGCTGAAGGGATAAGAGATTTTGCTATTGTCTTTGTTACTTGTAAAGGAGCCCTGGTGGCACAGTGGTTAAGCACTTGGCAGTTTGAACACACCAGCTCCTCCGCAGGAGAAAGCTGTGAAGTCTGCTTCAATAAAGATTTACAAAAGAAAAGAAGAAAAAACAAAAGTGGAGCTAGAAAAGACAAATTCAAGGGAATATAAAAAGGAAAAGAAAGAATATACAAACAAAAATAATGAAAGAACAAAAACAAAAGCAGTGTAGTTGTTGAAACCAGAGCTCAATTCAGAAGCAAAAACTCTGCCAGCCGAGGAACTCATGAGGTGGGTGTGGGAGTGAGGTGACAATGGTGCTCGTGGCCCCCGATGGATTCCTATAGGCCTAGGTGTTATCTATGTTCAGGGCAACCAATCTGAAAGTAGTTCGTAGAAGTCCCTGATAGAGTTAGTTACAGTGTCTGTTAGGACCACAGGGCAGCTGGGAGCAGGGGGGCTGGTTATAAGGGTTTCTGCTAGACTAATACTGGTCTAGACTCAATCCTGAATCCAGGCACCAAAGTGGAACAACAGGCCCCTGCCTCACATTGGTGTGGCTCTCAACTACATGACTCCAAACTCTTGGAGAGCAGGGTCTATGTTAGGAGTGATTGAGGGTGAGGGCTGGTCACACCTCAGGTGACCAGGGGAACATAGGGAAAATGAAGGAATGGTACCTTTCCCATCACTTGTGTGAACCTGCTCTCCAAAGCTGCCCACAAAAATCCAAGATGGTCATGCCATGTCTGGCCAGCCATTCACTAGTCAGTGTCCCTCGTTAGCCATCCTTGCTCAGCTTCTCCTCCCAGCAAGCACTCAATGTGCAACTCTAACGTCCTTCTGAAATACAGGGTTCCAGGGTTTTCATGTGTGCCTGTTTCATTTGTTCTCCTAGCTTTGTTGTAATGTGTCTGCCTAGTCCACTATCTTACCAGAAGTACCCTGTATGATGTTCTTCATGCCGTCCCACAACTCCTCTGGTTATGAGTATCTAATGTATCAAATCTGTTCTTGAGATGTTTCTAAGTGTAGGATCTGCTCAAGGTCATATTTTGGCTCTTGTGCACTTGTTTTAACTTTCTTCAGCTTCGGCCTGAACTTGCATATGAGCAATTGATGGTGGGGTCCACAGTCTGACCCTGGCCTTGCTTTGGCTGATGATATGGGGCTTTTCCAATGTCTCTTCCCAAAGATACAGTCAATTCACAGATATAGTCAATTCGATTCTGTGTATTCCATCTGGTGAGGTCCATGTGTATATTTGCCTTTTATGTTGCTTAAAAACAATATTTGCAATGAACAAGTCATTGGTCTTGCAAAATTCCATCATGCGATCTCTAGCATCATTTTTATGACCAAGGCCATATTTTCTATCTACTGATCCTTCCTTCTGTTTCCAACATCTTCATTCCAATCACCAATAATTATCAATACATCTAGATTGCAAGTTTGATAAACTTCAGACTAAAGTAGTTGGTAGAATTCTTCAACTCCTCATCACTGGCTTGACGGGTTACTGCATAAATTTGAATAATAGTGGTATTAACTGGTCTTCCTTAAAGGTATATGGATATTACTCTATCACAGACAGCACTGTACTTCAAGACAGACTTGATATGTTCTTCTTAATGATGAACATGAGGCCATTCCTCTTCTATGCCATTCTATGTTATTTCTGTCATAGTAAACCATGTGATTGTCAAATTCAAAATGGCCAATTCTAGTCCATTTCAGATCACTAATAGCTAGGAATTCCAGACCTAGGCAACTATTAATCTACTTTTTGTCCCTATAAATTTGCCTATTCATATAATATATAGTCTTTTGAAACTCACCTCTTTCACTCAGCATATTTTGTTTTTTCAATAATTATTTTGTTGTTCATACAATAC